GCTCTAATAAAGTAAAACTGAAACAGAACATGTTCCACCACTGAGTTCATCAAGACTATTTTGGAACACATAATGTTACTATAACTAATCAAAGGAACATGAACGGAGCAAGAATCTCTGCTCAGTTTCCAGTAGGTCATATTTGCTATATTTACACCCAGTTACAGGGCCGGATTTACAAGGATGTGGGCCCCTGGGCTGGAGCCTGTTTTGGTGCCCTATCCACCAAGATAAAATTGCTTTATTAATGTCAGTGGGTATTAATTGATGCATGCCAGGCTTAATATGTCCAGTACCCAATAACTACATTGATCCCAAAGACATCAACACAACGTCATACTTTTTAATACATAAATATTACTGATGATCATAAAAATCCTACAATAATACAGCTCATATGATTTGGTACGATGAGGTAGAAGAAAGGAGAAAATTATGAACTGATAGACAAATGAATGAACAGACAGATGAAAATTAAGAGGACAGATTGATGGACAGATGAATAGTGAAAGACATGAGTTGAAGGTGTTTAAAACTCAAGATTTGATGTGTAGCATGAAGAAGAAAAGTTGACTGTAATTATGTCTTTTTTTTTAAAAATAAAACCAGCATAAAAGTTGCTGATAGGAACAACTTATTTGCAGAAATCATCACACAGACAACAAAGCTGGGAATTATATCTGGAAATGCTAATCTTTTCGATACCTGCCAGACTTCGACAATACTTAAAAAATACTTTTCCGGACCTTTCAAGTCAACTCTAATTAGCAGAATGAAAACGTCTCCACAATAGCAGTCGTCCAACCAGCATTAGCTGTATATGAAAACTATGTTGTGGCAACTGGCTTTGTTGGGATGGAAAGTCATCAAATATGTAAAACTTTTGTTCCTACACATGTGGGGAGTGAAGCCACAGCTCTCTGGAAGGATTTTTCAACTCTCATAGTTGCAACGGAGCCAACAGAGCTCATGAGGCCGAGCCTCAAGTGGGAAACTAGGCTACAAGGGTTTATGCCAAAAATACTGAGTTTTTTTTTTTTGCTCTCTAGTGTTTTTGCTCTCCCCAGGCTGAGAGCGAAGTCTATAACCAAAGACAGCTTCTCAGCTAAAGCAACGATGAGAGCTTAAAAAAAAAAAGACACATGAGGGTGTGCCAAATTACCACTTAAAAAAACCTTCTCCACATTTCAGGGCTCCATATTCTCTGGCACAAAGTTAAAAGTAAACACCAAAATGGAAACAGATGTTGAGCAAGCTGGAGTTGCTCTGCGCTACTTCTATATTCAATGTTTGTCATCCATGCCCTCTGTCTCTGCCACTGTCTTCTTTCCTGACCAAATTTAACTCCTTGGGGGGGAGGTTGGAAAAATGTGATGAAAGCAGCGGGGGCCGGAGCTGAAACTGCGCTTCGACAGCGTCTGATAACTACAGAACTCCTGCAGAGTTTATGTTGACAGGCAGCTCTGAGAGAGATCAATGGTAATGAAAACAAAGATGGAGTGGGGGATCGCTGGACCTCAAGAGAAGAAACTTTGTATTAGAAAAACAATATTACTAACAATAAGACCAGACTGCATTGTTCAGATTGCAAATTAAGAAACAACAGTAATCCAATGGATATTGGATATCCAGGACATTGGATTGCTAGTTCATAGAGGCATGAACTAATTAAAAAACAAAGTATCCTGACATCACGCTGTCAGTGTTACAAATCAGAATGACCCTTTCTCTTGTATGCATGCATACTTATTTTTGTATCTCTATCATCTAAAAATGATAGAGATGATAAAGAGCTACACCATGTCAGGATAAAGACTTGCAGCTTTTTACATTCAATTACAGTAAAGTGTGCATAATGTTAGCCAGATGCACTAAGAGATCATCATGGACACTGGCTTTTTGAAGAAATAGTGTTCATAAATTTTATTTAATGGAGTGAAACTGTATTTGTACCTGAAGAGCAATTTGAAGATACATCATCTGTAATGTAGGCTGTTAAGATTCCTAAACACAACACATTAATATGTTATATCTTGTGGTTTAAGTGAAAGAAAATTCACAAAGTTAATGGAGTCATTTATTAAATAAAGCTGAGTCTGATGTTTCAAGGTATTCTGAACTTAAAACTTGCTTTAGATGTGAAAAGCAATAAGATTTTTTTTTCAATTTATTGTTAAATGTTTTGACACCAATGAGTTTATTAGAACATAGCTTATTATTCAGAAAACTACATCTGAAATTGAATTTTCCTGTTTATGACTAAATTCCTAGGAACTCTAGCTGTAATATAGATTTTTTTCTTTCAATATCAGGAGACCAGTAATCCAGTTTTCTATTTCCTGAGTGTACTAATTTCCCTCAAACTGCTTATCAGAACCTTCCTATTCCACCCCCAGACTATTTATGCATCACTTGGTATCAGTGAAATTCAGGGATGCTACAGAAATGTGTCTCATTATTAACTTTCCTTTCTTTGTTTCCAAAAACTGTGCCTTGGTGATACAGCAGCCCACTCCAACCCAGTTCTGCTGTGACTCAACCCCTCTGTTGTTCACAACTGATCTAAAATTAACTCCTTATATTCATGTTAAGAAGGAAGAGGCTTTAAAGTCAAGCCACCATCTTGGACTAACAGAACAACCATCTGTCAACAGTTTAGCTATATGCTTTCACTTCTTATACATGTATTGCGTATTTTCCTTTCAGGTTTAGGCAACACCACTGTCCGGGAAGTCCCCCTCTTCTCCAGCCCCCCTTACGTGATCCTGAAGGAAATGCATTGATAAAAAAGAAACTTTCTAACATCTGTTCCTCGTTTGGCTGGGGGAGGATGTTCGAGCAACAGAGTGTGAGAGACAGGAAGAAGAGAGATGCTTTTCTCAAAACACTGAATGCAAAGCAGCCCAAGGGAGATGGGGTGGTTGAGGACAAACACTCAACTTAACACCTCCCAAAGGGTTGACAAAGTGGGGAGAAAAAGCTACAAGTGATGACTTTTGAGTTACAATATGGTCCAAAAACACAACTAGTACAAGAAAACCAAATTAAAGAAACGTTGGTAGAAGCTGGGAAATTTAATCTGGTCATTTATGGAAAAGTTCGTTGGTCTTGTTTTTTTTTTAACTTCAAATGCAACATCCACTAGGGCAAAAGGATGGCCATTTATTATATAATTTGTTGCCATCATGAAAAAAATTCTTATCACATCATTGATACATTTCAGTTGACATTTGAAGCTCCAAAATCTGACTGTATCAGTCACGCAAGTGTTTTTTTTTTCAACTGTTTGTTCAATAAAAGCATTAATAAACATCAATAAAATTGAAAACATGATTAAGAGCAATAACTACATGGAAATATGAGATAAAAAATCATTTGGCGCTCCCATATTTGTGTTTATGGGGCTAAAAAATGTTCGCCAAGAAGTTGCAAAATCTTTTTTATTGCCACTGTTGTTATCTCAAAAAATGAAAGTGAATATCAAAATAAAATTTTAGGTCCGTATCGCCAACATCTACAAAAGCAGCATACAACTTTGCTACAGCATCAGTTTAAGCATTACGGATTAGAATAATAACTGTTTCATAAGCTGTATTGATTACAATTATATTTCAAGTATCAGGAATTCCTGGTGTAATAACTGCATACACCTGATAAAGACAATTAAAAATAGAGGGAGCTTTGGAAACATCATAACAGCTGGAAAACAAAGGAGAGATAAAATGTCTATTTACTCCATCTATCCATTGTCTATACCAGTCCATCACAAGGACTGTCCATCACAGGGACTGATGATGGACTGGTATAAACCATCCACGGAAACCCAAGGACATTTTAGAGGGACCAATAAACCTAACAGACGTGTTTTTGGGATCGTGGAAGGAAACCAGAGTACCCAGAAAAAACCAACACTTGTGCAGGGACAACATGCAGAAAGACTTCAGAGATCTGACCCAGAACCTTCCTGCTGCAAAACAACAGTGCTTCCTGCTATTACAGAAGAACCGATTAGGAAACTGATTCAATTTTCATGCAGGTCTGTCTTTTTGTAAGACCATGTGGTATGCTGGTTTAAAAGACTTAAATGAACTGTTTGAGTCCAAGAATTACAAGATTATTCCCATTTATGCATCCAAGATGTTTATCTAATATATATTTTAATAAAATCAACAAAGCAGGGCAACACCAGTCAGTCAGCCAGAGATCTGAAAACTCAGTTGATCAGATCTGATTGACAACAAACTGAACAATCTTAATTTTCTCGGTCAATTACACATCTCAAACTTTGTTTGGCTTATAAATGTATCAACCATCAGCTTTATGCTTTTTGAGATTCAATAAACATCTACTTAAGGGTTCAAGTAAATGTTTTAGATGCATAGATCAGGAGAATCTTGTCATTCCTTCATTTTCTGATGGATTCAAATTTTGTTCTTTTATAGGAAAGACCTGCAGGACATTGGTATCAACCAATCAGAGCAGTTGTTGATCAAGGATGCTCTTTTACTATAGAAAATGTTCAAAACTTACATTTTAAAATATTTTCAAAATGTTTAAAACCGGCATCAGAAGAGACTTTAAAGTTGCGACTGTGCACATTATTAAACTGTAATGTGCTTGTTGTCTTCTAGGAGTAATATGATTGGGCAACATGCAAAACCATTAATAATTGAGGATATAGTACAAAACACGGTCGTGTCAGTTCAGTAATTCCCCAACATTCATATTTAATACATGTTCCTGTCTCTGCTTCATTTATGGTGAAAAATATTCCCTTCGTTTGGCCTCACCGAACAACTCATTGAGTTTGTTTGGTTTCTTTGCCCCACCAGCAAGCAGCCTCCCAGTCTGGATCCGGCTTTCTTAAGGGACAAAAATAGAAGAGCAGCAGGCAACAACCAGCAAGCTCCTTACTGCTGATCATCGCGCTAACTGGACACTTTACACCGCATGAACAAATATCCAGATAAACGGGGAAAAGACGGAAATTAGTCACTCACCTGAAGCGTGGGGAGTCTTTCAGACATTCCTCAAAGTCCACGGTTATTTTCATCTTCGCCGCGGTGAATTGCGCCCGCACAACCTGCTCTCTATGTTTGATTAAAGGCAATAATCCAAGCCCAGTGTTCCTGGCTAATTAGCTTGTTCGCTAACGTCCCTGTTTCTCCGTCCGACCAGCTGGCTCCACTCGGTCACCGTTCCGCTAAGCCAGCTAGCCTCAGAGGCCAGCAGCTACCAACAAGAAGTGGCTGGACAGCGCTCATAAACGACGCTTTTCTTTGTGAAGGAGTTCACACCCCCCCAACCCCCCAAAAAAACCCGTCACTAAACTGTCCCAAAAGCAGAGGTCAGCACTGAAAACGGAAAGTGTTGTCCAGTAGCTCTATCATAGCAGTCCGCGGGAGATGAGCTTTTCTCCAACAGATCTACACACAAAGATCGTCTATATGAAAGGACTGCTTACCGGCTCTGGAAATAGGTCAATAAAATCCTCTGAAACGTTTTTTTTTTTTCCCCCACCGCAGAAAAGTGTTTGAATGTCGTGTTTACGTAATGCATTTTTTCCCAACTGACAATGTGATAATATTAGACAGCTACACAATTAAAACATGCGTTAAATATGTTATTTGTATGAACATTGCAACCGGGGGTAAGTGTGGTCGTTCGCGTTTGCTGAATATGCACAATTCTATTCAATTGTACAGTTGATGACGCAATTGCACCATACACACACAGAAGGAGAGAGAAAGAGTATCTACATGTATTTATTGTATGTTTACATAAGTATCAGAAAGTCTGCAGCAAATTTCTTTTTGGCGTGTGCTACGTGTTTAGGGCCAGCGTTAAGGAATTTAAATGAGTGACCGGTCTACCTTTGAATACACAATCTTTGCGTCAGTTGACAGGAGCTTCCTGATCCTTAAAAATACTCAGGACCCGTTTTCAGAATATTTCAAGCTACTCCCCTGCATTGTTCATCTGCGCACTGACAAACAATGAAAGCAAATCTTAAATACTTTTGAACATTTCTATTGTAATTCAATGACACATTTCTTTAAATGTTTCCCCGCTTTGATTTGATCAGTCTCACGCTTTATCCCATTACTCACTAGAAAGTCTATATGCGAACGAAAGATTGTGTAACAGCGCCATCTGGTGTCAATGCAGATAGCAATAAAGCCAAGCATTAAAACTGAATAACTTCCTAAAATAATCTTGCAATAGATTTATCTTTTCACACTCAAAATTAAGGGTTTCTGTATATTTACACTTCTATTTAAATAGACCAGAACTTCACAAAAAGTGACTATTCAATTTATTTATAAAATCATAAAAGCAAAACGTTTTTATCTGTGTCAGAATAGATTGATTGCTCATTTGTAAGTTATCACCAAATCAAAACGGGCAAAATCTCATTCAAACTGCTTCGTCCAAAGCAAATGAGCATCACACAGGCTTCTAACAATGTTTGTTTAATGACTGGAAAAAACAAAACAGTATACACAACTTGATGAGTAAGAACATGCAGACAGGAAATTATAAGAGAACATTTGTGAGACTTATGACGGTCAAAAGTAGAGAAACACCAATAACCAATTTAGCAGTTTTGTTTTCTTTTTTTTTAATTTTCAAATTATTAAACGCACCATAACTAAATCCCACCATTTTAGATCCATAAATATAACAACTACAGTAATATTAAGTACTTTGAAGAATCTGATTTACCAAAAAAATCAGATAAAGGTTTGATATTTGCTTTGATGTATAGCAAATGTAAATGGGGATAGTCTTGTAATTTCTTTATTTATCACAAACTTTGTCAAGCAACTTGCAGAACAGTTTTTCCCTCATTTCAATATAATCCCTGGGGAAAATAATTGGAATCAGCAAGTCAAATTAAAAAAAAACCCCCAAAAAACTGGAAACTTGACAGAAAATGTCTGATTGGTGCATCTCTAGATCAGAGGACTGCATAAACATCTACCCACCTTAGAAAACACAACAGGGCAGGTGTAATGCAAAACAAAAACAGAAAAAAAGAGGCAAAAAGTATCACGGAGCTTGTTCACTAAACACACAAGTATATTAAGTCATTAGAGGCACATGTGTCAGGTCACAACCACCTACAGGATGATCCATGTCCATTGTGTTTTGTCTAAAATGAGAAAAAGAATCACCTCTGCTTCTCTAGACTCACACTTTTTCCACAAGTTTACAAATAAAACAGCCATATTGTCAAAAATCTCTTGTTTCTTTGCTCAGATACCCATTCCATTGGCCAAACTCTGTATTTGTTGGTTTGCTTTTAAACATGGGAAAAAAAAATTCACAGAGTCTTTGGCAGGAGTCGCACCAACAGCTGTGACCTGGAGTATTTCCGCAACATAAAGCTCGTCGTGTCCGGTCACAGTGGGGTGTTAAAGGGCAACGGGGAAAATAAAGAGATAACAGAAGACATCCTCATGATTCCTGCATGCTTTATCTATTCCATACTTAACCGAGTTCCCAGCGTATACAGTCAACACGAGAGTGGCTTTCTATTTCCTTTTAAGACTATGCAGTGGCACATGGCTGAACCTTGAAAGAGAACTCAAGTCCTCAACACACCTCCAATGAGCTGTAGTGGTTTAATCCGTCTCCAACGTCCTCCGACATCAGTCAGTAGCATTACAAACATTTCCCCCTCCCCTATGATGACCCTGAGCTGAGTCATGCAAGCAGATCAAACATTGCGGTCTTAAAATGAAACCGTGAGTCAAGCCAGGTTAAAAAAAAAAGCAAAACAAAAAACATTGAGAACATTGTTCTGACTTTCCTTCAAATAACTTGGCACAGCTCAGGCTGTTCATCTAATATCTATTCGGTCAGGTCTATCAGTAGCACATACCAAAGTTCAGCAGCAGCACGTCCATACAATCTCTTCTCACCAACTTTACAATCAAAAATACTGGAGATTTTACACAGAGAAAGGAAAACACGGATGACCGAGCAGCTTGTCCTGTCTTATTCTTGAACAAAATTATCTTGAATGGATGAAAAAGGATTCCAGTGAATGAAAAATGTACCTCAAGATGTCTGGTGACATTTAGAAATCCTTGTAAACTGGAAATGAGAAACTGAAAATGAGCATCCGAGAGGGGCAATCGAGAATGAGTAAAATGTTCTTCTCTGAAAAACACCCGTTATTTTAATAACACAATTTGGACTAATATATTCCCCAAGCCAGTAATCATGTCATGTCAATATTGAATGTGGAGCAGCCTTGTTATTTTAGCAGTTTAACTATTCCTAAAGACGTATAACCAGGAGAAATAAAATGCAGCTGTGTGACTGATCAGAAAGGGAAACAGGAAAGAGATCCGAGTTGCAGCCACTGGAAACTCCATCATGTGACATAAAACCCTTCAGAGAGGCCGTGGTGTTTCCCCCCGGCTTCTTCCACAACCAACAAGCTGTTTCAGCCAGAATAAGCTCAATGTTGTGAGGTTTTTCTTGTCATTTTTTATTTATTTTTAAAAAGACCGATCCTCCTTTCAGTGTCTGAATCATAGATTCTTCAGTGCCACATCAGTCCAGGAGAGGTGAGAGGAGGGCATTCTTGGCAACAAGAGAGGAAGGAGGGACAAGCAACAGCCTTCATGTGTTTCATGTAAATCATGTGTTTCGGATATATTCCTGGAGCTGAAAACCATTTTTAACATTAAAAATAGAGGTTATATTGCACAGTTTTATGGGAATAGTGGAGACAAAGACGGGACCGATAATCTGTTTGGCTGCTTGGAGATGTTGGGCAGGTGGTGAAGCGGTGTTTGCCTTAACGTCTCTGCTTTCAGTCACAGATCCAAAGAGCGGATCTCGCTGAGTCTTGATCTGCCACAGCGCTGACGGTGGGAGAAGTCATCTACGACTCTATGGACTCAGCTGGAGGACACACAGGAATAAACAAAGGTAGATACTTGGGATACACGAACATTTAAATATTCACCAGTAAGTCCCCCTTATACCCCCATCATGCCATCTTGTTTGACAAACTCTCTTTTCACACCTTGTATTCTACAACATATGGCTGTAATTTTTTATTTTACATATAATAAAGTTAGAATACTTTAAGAGCAAAGTCGAATTAATATGAGGATAATTAGACTTAATGTCAGTAGAATAATATTGTAATATTAAGACAGGGTGGTGAACCGGTTCAGCATTAAGAGCCACACAGCAATTTCAAGATTAGCTTTATACTGCATTACTTGCTGAAACAGTTTTGTCCTTAGTTCCTAAAGCTAATTGGGTCACCTAACAGTGTTTTATTTTTTTTTACCAGCATCTCTGGGTTTGGTTTGTACTCTGTTACAGCAACTTGAAGCAAATCTTTCACAATAATTATACTTGTTTAAGCATAGCAAAATCTCATTCAAAGACATAAAGAAAACTTTTGAGCTCTTCACGCCACTGCGTTGCACACAGCATTGATTGCGTTCATGTGATCAGAACCAATTTGCTTTTCCCTTTAGTGGCCCCAGAAACTGCTGCACAAACTCTGATCTCATGTTTGCTTATTTGCACAGCAGCTTGTTCTGCTTCACTCCCACATCTGCACCTGAATCCTGAGCTCGGGTGCAGCGCAAAGTGTACCAAGATGAAATAATGCAGCTGCTAGAAATACAATAACCTGTTGAGGAAAACTGTTACTGTGGAAACAGATTATATTCATAAACGATTTAGGTTCCATCTAAAATTTCTCCTAGATTTGTGTTTCTCAAACTTTTTCAGCCCGAGGACCACTTACCCTTTTTACAAACACTAACAGACCACCTGATATGAAATTGGCCCCACAATAACAACATAAGTACAACCTGAAATGAAAATATTAGTCTCTGAACCCCTTATCTTTATTCATCCTAATGTGAAGGGTAGTACTGTTTTGTAAATGTGAATGGCAATGATAAACCATGAACTGCTGCTGCTGCTGCTGCTGCTCGGGACGTTTTCAGTTATTTACAGATTCTGAAAGTGTAGATCCTAAGCTTTCCAATGATAGAAAACACATACAAATCAAAAAAGTTCTTTACGACAAGTGTTCTGTGCATTAATAATATCTTAGGGCTATTTGCAATTAAGAAGCATAATAAAAGAAAACTAGACTTGAGTTGCTTGGGCAAAAACAAACATTTTCTTTCAGCCCTACATAAAAACTTTGTTGTAGGTGTTAAGATGCAGTTAGTCAGCGAGGGGTACAGCTCTGCTCACCGCCTCAACAGCGTCAAATCAGACTCAGCACGGCCGCTGACCGAAATCTGCATGAGGTGGCATGCCATTTATTGCAATAGTGTTCAAAAACAAAACTTCTGCAACTCACCCTGAGAAATTTACCACAGGTACTTTCAGCTTTTCTTTCGAGTGACCCAGTTTTAAGCCATTT